GGCTCGCACCGCGGCCTGGCGCCCCGCCCCCGCGGACAGAAGAGCAGCACACGGAGGGGTGGTTTGTCCCAGCAGAGAGTTTAATGTACTTACAGGACAGTTACGGAGTCACATTTAACCCGTCCGGTAGGGGCAGGCCGGAGGGCAATGTTGTACATCTTAATTAAAGTATTTGGTTCTTACAGACATACAGACAAGGGCAGGCAAACTGCTCCCCGCGCCCCCCGCCGCCGAGTCACAGTGCCCGAGGGACGAGCAGGGAGGCGGCGGGCCCCAGGGGGAACCCTGGCCTTAAGGCAGGTGACGGGGATCCCTACACAACCCTCCGGGTAACAATAGAGGAACGCTTCTATCAGAGATCGCACATGCTTCCAGAGACAGGTAGCTGTAGGTCGTAAAAAGGCAGTAATAAAAGTTCAGTGCAAAGTCCTAGGTTAATAGAGAAAAAGAAGAGGTCTTAGCGCAAGCTGTTACTCTGAAATACCCCAACAAGGTCTGTACAATTATATTTCTGGCTGCAGGTCATACATTGCATAAGTGATTTTTTATCTTTTCATTAAACGAGATATAAAAAGCTGTTAAAACTACGTTTTCAAGCTACTTAGTGTACTGGTAAATTCCACTCCAACTGAGTATTTTCACATCCACCTTTTTTTTTTTGAATGTAGTACATTAAAGTCTTATTGCAACAATCACATTTTTCTTGAGAATAGTGCAAAGAGGGGAAAGCTTAGGGCTGTTCCTCTACATGTGAAGACAGGCCAAGGCCAGATCCCATAGACAAAAATCCATGACCATAAAAAGCTTCAGCCAGTGACTATTTTGAAAAGGAAGGGAAAGGCACAAAATGATTTTTTTTTTTTTTTTTCCTCCAGAGTCCAGACAACTGTTAAAACTGCAAGTCTTTTAAAATGATTTTAGTTTATTTGTATTTTGTGCTGTAAGACACTGTGCTTTAATAGCAAACTGCAAAAAAGGCAGTACATATTGCTTTTATTTTATTTCACAATGGAACGTTTCACAAAAACAGTAGTCTACTTTCCTGTGTTTAAGTGACTTGTGATTCTAATGATGGAATGGAGTAAGTCTCAAAAGCGTCAAGTGAGCAGGAAATATCTAGTTAGTTATATAGTTTATTATTTACAGGCTATATACTAAACAAAAAATATGCAGAAGATGCCTAATAAAACTGGGACTTGTTAGCGCCCATTAGTATCAACCCAGTTTCTAACATTCAAGATATTCTTAGCTTTTTAATTGTAATAATTCCTACGAAATTGGACCATGAATACTTTTAGGCACCAGGAGATTCAAGTTTACTTCTCTCTTCTGTATTGAAGGGAGATTGGTCAGTAGCAGGGGAAGGAAAATCAGATTATGAAATAAGTTTTTAGTGTTAGGTATATATAGAAGGGCTTTCTCGGTATTGTGTCTTTGTTTATAGTTGCATATTTTACTTTAAAATTTTGCTTTAGTCACAGTCAGTGGTGATAAGTCTGTCCCGATTCAAGAAAAGTGTGCAACTTTATAGTTGTGTTTAGACAGAACATGACTAAGGTGAATAAAAAGGCTACACCTGTAGTACAAAAACACCTAATTAAGTAACCAGTGGTATTAACATGAGAGTGTGACATCTGTATTTCACTGTCACAGTATAGTTAAAATCTAATAGTCCTTGGAATGAAGTATTTTCAGGGGAATTAATTCTTATTGGGAGTAAGAAACAGTGTTACTGTGAACTGCTAAAAAAAAAACCAAAACCAACCCAAGTTTCTCTCAAAGCTCCATTAATGTACCTCATTTCTGGCCTGTAATTCATCCAGCAGTTCTGCTTCTTAACTAGAGGCTACCCTTTACCTGAAGGTACAGGTGCAAATGCCACTTTGGATTTAGTGTTTGAATCTGTTCCACACTTAATCACTGTGGTATTTAAATGTCCTAGAAATTAAGACATTTCAAATCACCGAAAAGCTGAGCACATTTCCTACAGCACCACATTCACCAGTCTTTATTCAATTTTTGGAGATCATGGGCAGAAGATGGGGTTGGAAAAAATGTGTAAGTTGCACTAACTATGACTGATGTTATTTGTAAGTAACACATCTCAGGAAGACTTCCAGTAGGACCTGCAAGGTATCAAATATGAGAACGTTTCCCCTTTTTAAGGAGCTAAAAGTTAACATGTATACATATTTAAATACCAGATATGAGGTAAAAGAGAAGCATTTGAATTATAAGGCACCATTATTTACATCTCCCATTATTGGCACTCACTCCAGTAACTCTCAGAGAAGCATCAATCTGGGATTAAATGCAACGCTAAGGAATTTTTCCAGCCCTTCAACCTTCATTTCTACAGGTGTGTGTGAAGCCACCAAGATGTTACCCGTGACTGCTGCTGTGATGTCTAGTGGGAATGTAATCCTAAAATATGTCATTTCTTTGATGTTCTCCAGCATCATGCCATGGATGACACAACACAGGTAACAAATTAAAAGCAAATATGCACTATATCCACAGGCCTAATGATTAAGTTATGGTTTAACCAACCAGCATGGTCAAACTGTTCATCTTGCTTTCATGGATGGTTTAAAAACCCCTTCCTTTACCCGCAACTCTTAAATGTTTACCATGATGCTTTGATAGCATCACATAAACATAAACCAGGTTTTCTAGATATTGTCCAAATTAGGCTACATAAACATTGGTCCAACATATCTGTTGAAATGCAGAGTCTCTTGTTTTAAGATGTACAAGTTATCTTCAAGTAGGAAGATGCACAAAGCACAAGCAAATACAATTGTTCCGGTCTTATTCAGGTGTAGAAACGAGCTCACAGATAAGGTACAGCAGTTAGGCGATACCAGTTAACAGTCTCCTTGCTCAAGTTGAAGTCCTTTAGTGAGAGTGTAATTCCACCCAAGAAAAAGTTCTCACGTAACGATTCTGCACTGAGCACACTTAGCTGAAGTTCTCTCTGTTTCAGAGTCTCCACGCTATATCCACTGTACACAAGCTAGAAGGTAAGAAGTGAAGAATTTTTTGGTTATCCAAATGAAGTTAGATTGCCCTTTGTTCTGACTGTCTACCCACTGATAAAGGTCTGAACTGCACATTATGACCCTCTAGTATGTCTGTTTCTTAGAAGATGGGCTGAAGTACAGACATACTTTATTTTGTGCTCCAATGTTAAATGTTGATAAGGACCAGTGGTTTTAGACAGAAGTACTGTTTAAATGCCAAGACTTCTGAATTAATTCTTCTCCACATAAGCCAGTGAATCCAGGGCAGGTGAACCTTTAGTTTTGATATTTCTTTCCTTCTCCCCATCACTCCTCAGAGTCAGTCTGAGAAACTTCTGCTTACTTGTATATTTACCTCCTCAGTTGCTTTGGGCTTTTTGTTTGTTTTTAAACAGAGCACAAAGTTTTTCAAACAAGATACTTTTCTCTTTATGTATCTTTGCAGATTTTTTTAAAGACATTTTAATTACTGCTTCGAATAAGAGACAATAGCAAACCATAGGGAGTAAATACACAGATTTTAACTTGCCATTTCATTGAAAGTTGGATTTCTTGTCTTCCGGGAGATTTTGGTTTTGCGCTTGGATGTTTTGTGCGTATCTGGAAGTAAGTAAGTTTTCACATAGGGATTTGGATCTGCACCATCTTCTGTAACCTACAATCCAAAAACAAGTCAGAAAACTAGTTAGTGCATGACTATTTGAATATATTTTCAAGTATCTAGACTGCAATTAAGCTAACCAAAGGCACCAGTTAATTAAGTTGGCAGTTAGAAATTTGGAAGGAAAGATAGAGTTCGACCATTCCTGCATCAAACTAAGTCAAGGTGGTAACTGACAATATGGAAATAGTTTTTGGCAGTGTGCTCAGAATCTCTACTTACCAGGTCTTTAATGTGCATCACCATGATAAAGAGAGTGCTATTTCTATATGATATGGATAGTTTCACTTCTCCTCCCACTTTGCCTGAGGTAGGACTTGATGGAATTGCATCTGAAAAATTACACAATTATTTCCTCTAATATTTGTACATTTTCATCAGTACTACACTGACTACTTATATATGGGAGAAAAAATACAAGCCTTAGACAAAGTTCAGTTTCTGATTTTATTTCTAGTTCCTTAGCAAGAAGGCAATGTCACAGGTTTTAAAGATTTCTGCATTCTCTTCTAAGAAGCAACTTAGAGGTTTAGAGTAAAAACTTGAATAATTTAGTCAAGCCATAAGCAAGCCCAAGTGATCACATACATTGTTGCAATTTTTTTAATGTTTTTATTTCCTTGAAACGGTATGCAGGCACATTTGGAAAGACAGTGATGCAAAGTTTTCAATGAGGCAAAACTGCAGTCAATTAGAAAATATTTTAAAAGAAAAAAAAGAGTCATACAAAGGTGTCATAATCATCCAATTTATAAACACCCCCCAAAACCATTACCTACCTGTAGGTCTGGCTATTCCATCTATTCCTTCCACTTTGTCATCACGAAGTAATGGATGGAAAAAAGTATAAACAAGATCACACTAAATTTGGAAAAAACGTTACATATCAGTTTAAGTGTTAACAAGCACCAAAATGCGAAAACTTGCACTGGATTTTCTTAAGTTATTTGAACTCACTTCTGCCACCTCTGAAGAACTGTTCATCAGACTCTGTATGTAGCTGTTGAGCTCCACTTTTCTTTTAGCTGCTACATCTTTTATATGTGTTCTTCCCAGAACCATCTTATTAGGAAAGCTACAAGGGCAGAACAAAAGAGACTTTTCAGTTAACCTCTATGAAGTAAGTGCAGTTAGATTTCATTGTCAGTGCTAACATCCATTTTTTAATGTCAATCATGAGTGGAAACACAGCATGCTAATAGATAATGACATAGACAGGCAAGGAAAGGTTTATAGGGGATTTTTATAAGCAGTACAACACACAGACTAAAGACACTGAGCTGCTCCTCTGGCTCTCCTCCTTAAAACCTAGAGACAAAGGTTTTCTCCCTTAATTGCCAACTTTGAGGTCTAGTTTGACTCTTAGCAGTTTGGTCTCCATTTCAAGCTATTTCTTCCTCCACCCAGCTGGGAGCAGTTTTATTGCTTCCATTGTAATAGTGATAAGTGAGTTAGGAACATACCCTGGTAACTT